TGCCAGTGGCACGTTTCGATCATCAAATGAAGAGTGAGTTTTGGTCAAAACGTGCCACTGGCATATCCCAGGTTGAGTAACTGTTCATGTAATTATTTGGCACAGCAAACATATTCAGTAAGAACAGGGTGCGGTTACTGGTGCGGTTTTATTGTATTTTTTGGTCGCCTTTGGTGATTTGTTTGGCGGTCTTGGTGCTGCAATAGCATTACAGTAGTTCCTTCAGTAAACCTGGAATAGCATTGCGTTTGGGGAACTTTTTGTGTGCGGTCGTGGTTTCTTCTCTATAGTTCCTTCAGTGGAGCTGAACAAATATATTACCTTCGGACAACATCTAGAAAACATACATGGAAACTCACACATTCCCAAGTCATCTGCCTTGTCCCCTTTGTGTCCGGGTGTGTGTATATAGATCCCGTGTCATCAGGCAAAAAGAACCAAAACGACGATATATAATGCAAAACATCACCAGAAGCAAAAAAAAGAGTGGGAAAAGCATACAAAGCTAGAAAAGAAAGCATAAAGCAACACTAACTATCACTAACTCAAGGACTGAAAACCAACTGATCAAAAGTGAAAGCAACAAAGACCATAGACGTAAAAAATAGAAGTAATAAAACAATACGATAAACAAACGAGAAGAAGGAAAGTAAAGGAGAAAAGCCGGGAAAAACAAACCAAACGTAAAAGGAGCAGGAAAAGTCAAAAGTAAGAAACACAAGCATTCACAAAGAAACAATGAAAAGCATGGAAAAAGCAAGACTAGCACAAAAATAAAAACTAAAAAAACACACCAACAAAAGCGGGAGCAACCACAAAGCAAGGACAAGCAAGACTAGCACAGAAAAGCAGAAAATGCAAGAACAGCGGGAGCAACCACAAAAAAGCAATGATAAGCAAGGAAAAACTAGAAAATCAAACGAGGTCATAGAGAAGAAAGCAAAAGCAAGAAAAGCAGTCAGAAGCACATCAATAAAAAATCCCCAAACTCAACAAACAAAATCACTAAAAAATTGCCCTCCAAAAGAAAACGTAAAGAAATGTTCAGTAAGAAACGTCTGTCTTGTCGACGGTTGCAAATTTTTGTCACAGGATGCATGCACTCCCAAAATCTGCGCACACAATGTACACATGTTCCAAACATTGAAGAAGGATGAAAAAGGGTCGCAGTAACAACGTTCTGTGTTACACACATTGATCCAACGTTCTACACAACTGCCTGGAAATCAGGGCGCCCCCCCGTAGGGCGCTGCGCTTTACTCTTTGAACCAAATTGCTCACGAGACCCGTGACTTGTGAGTGACAACTGCCACAGGGGAACCAAGAAAACTGTACAACGCTAGACTAGGAGACGTGAATAGCCAGGGGAACCAAGAAGTCCTCCCTCCACTTTCATCACAAACGTTTCAGCCATTTCTCATGGACCGAGGCTTGAGGCGACTCCCCAAACAGCCTTCATATCGAGAGTTCAGGTGTTCAAGCTCAGACCTCCATGTTTCTCTCGCGTGATCAGCGATGCTTGGTCAGTCGACTGAGCAGTTCCCGTGTTTCACGGTCTGCTGAAGTGAAGGGCCGACCTCCTCAAGGACCTGAGAGGCTGGACTTGACCCACGTTGATGAACGCAGGTGGACAAATGGCGGTATTCTCTTGATCGTCTTAAAAAATGAAAGAGAATGTGCAAAAGAACCACGGACGTATAAATACACCAATGTCGTGTTTTTTTTGCATTCTCTGCGCTACACAAAATATAATAGACCCAACGATGTGGATTGTTAAAACCTTTATGCTTATTGCCACACAATCTACAGTATATCAGCTGCCACAGCGCCATGCTTTGACACATTCCTAGTCCTATGCCTACACCTAACTACAAACAAACTTGGAAAGTGCTTGCGGTCAGGCTGGCAGCCTTTGCGGCTTGTGATACGTACGCGCAGAACTGTATGTATATACAATTTTATAATAAACTGGCATATTTGTGTGTGGATCTATGGATGCTTCCCCATGGTATATATATATATTCATCTGTCAGTCAGTGCCCAAATCTTCATGTCATGCGCTTCAAACCCTGGCACACTTCCCAATATAACGGCCACCAAGAGGCGACAGGAGAGGCGACAGCAAGCGAGGTGACAGCAATCGAACTGTAGCATTGGTCGCGTTCTCGTCAGGATTGAAGTCTGACATTCAAAAGGAGCCGTTGTGTCTGATGCTATTCTTCAAGCATGCTTTTCTGTTGCCGCTAAATGCAAACCCGCTGCGCCGTGCAAACCTTTCATGCAAGGAACCCCATTTTCTGGAAACAGCACCTTTCAAATCCTCTCAATATTCAAGATTTCAGGACCTGAAAAAAGGTGAAGTGCGTGCTGAATGTGCGGGATTTGTGCGTGCAGTGCAAAGTATGAAACCAAGAAAAATCACACCTGCCCATGGATCTTCATCATCACCTCCGCTCTTGTTCGTTAAGAAGAAGAGCACCAAAATGGAGCACAAGATTGACCTGGGAAGCTCAACATTCCATGAGTAGAAGTCAATCTTGAACTTCAACCAAGAACTGCACCTGGGTGATTCATAAGATTCAATATATTCAATGCTACTTGCCAATCCACACAATCTTCCAAGTGATCAAACGATTTAGTGGTCTTCACTCTCTCCCTCTCTCTCACAACACTTGGCAAAGACCGTCAGCTGTAGCAGGTGGGACAAAATGATCGAGACAAGTCCGTGTAACAAGACATCCATTGTTTCACAACGCGTTATCGAGCTTTTTGAGGATTCTCAAGAGCACCAGCAGGGTGAGACAAGGTATGACTTCAAACAAGTGGCGCGCAGGTACAACAGCAAATTGCCACGTACTCGATCCAGCGCTTGATCTGATTGGTGCGGATGGCCCATCCCAGATCCCAAAGGCCGGTGTTTCGATAGCGAGTAAAAAGGGTGCGACCTGCAGGTCACTCCCAACTTAGTTATATAGTTATATAGTGATATATAGTTGCGACTATAACTTGTCTGTGGGCATTGAACATACTGCACGTAAAAACAACTCCATGCACAATCCATGACAATGTCCATGGACCTTGACACAGGTAAGAGCCGCGTCCACTGGCACTACGATGACCAGCAAAAGGGCCAGGAGAAGCCAGCGCTTTTGAAGCCTCAGGTAGCTGAAGGCTCTATATAAATGTATAAATACAGCTGTCTCGAATAACATCAATCAAGGATGACATCCATAATTGGATTGTTGAATGTCCGGAGCTGGGCAAAGCTCCCTGACTCAGGCCTTTCTACTTTCATTGTCCTTCTTGCCTCTTGCTACCTGGTGCTACCTTGCCAAGTACTTTCATGTATTGGCGCCCTAAACTTAGCCAAGGACAGGGGAACGACGACTCAACATCTCAAAGTGGGACGAAATTGACCATAGAAGAATCATTTATAACATAAACGGGGAGTTTGGTCAATTGTGTCCTTTCCCACTGACTGAGGCCACTCACGTTGCCATTGACACGCCGCGACTCGTGACCTACAAAAAACGACAGCGCAGCGGCAGGCTGTCATTGTAGCACAATCTGTAATACCCGATGAATAATACCTGAATCATTGGGCGAATGATTTTAATTGAACAAATGTATTTAAATCCTTCGGGGCAGACGTCCTTTTACTTTTTTAAAATGTGCCAAGGTCGAGTCGAGGCTCACTTTTTTTGACTGAAATTCTGTCGTAGTAAAATCCTCGGGCCGACGTTTTAATATAATCCTGGCCCTACCCTCATGATCACATCTGATACCGAAATCATGGGCTTATTTAAACCCTAGTATGGACATCAAATCCCCACACATGTCCCCAAAAAAGTTGTATGTTTTTCCTTCCGGAAAACCTTCCCCTCCACAAATCCACCAACACTCTTTTTCTCTATTATATATATAAGGACATGCATGTTCTTAAAAAGGAACGGCCATACACCGCGGTCGGACAATTGAAACGGGTCATCGGGTCCTTGGTCGTGGCTTCTTGTTCTTAGTACTCTAGTAGTAAGGCCAGGAGCCCCTAGTAGCGTCCTTGTTTGACCTTCAGATTCAGGTCCATTCCAAACTCCACAGGAACGCTCAGTTGAGATCAGAAAAAAATATTTGCATCCATGGTTGGCTAAAGAATAAACATTACAAGAATGGAAGGCTGGCAATGCACAGACCGGCCCTACTCAAGTATTAAAATCAGACCCCGTGCAAGCAATCACAGACTGGGAAAACATGCATTACTAAACTCCCGGCCTGAGATACCATGTGGTCCTCAATTTCGCTGGTATGTTATTCCAACATGATTATTAAAACCCTTGTGCCAAGGGTTATATAACTTTGTTGGTAGCAAGTTTTGGGCGTCGTATTATTTTTCGGGGCGCAGGCGAAAAACAAAAAACATTCTTATTTTTTCCTGGGGTTGACCCCTAGGATTTTATATTGATTATTTAACAGGTATTCTGTAATCACCCTGCCCCCGAGAACGGTGTGTTCATGTTTTGATGTAATCTGGTGGTGAGGAATCCCACTGCATCCAGCCCAGTTTGAGCATCACTTAACTCAAGGGCCTTTCAACGCACATCTTTCCAACAGCGCCTCGTGCCACGAGCAGCAACTTTATCTCATTTATTGCCCATCGTTCGTGGGCCAGCTGCGAAATGGCAGCGAACACATGTGCATGAGCCAACATCTCAATCCAACATTCCAGCATTTCCTCTGCTACAAGGGTGCTGCAAGGGATGTGCTGCAAGGGATTCGAGGTAGTCTGAAAACACTCAAGTCTTGCTTCAAGCTTTCACAGCTCTGTCAGGTCTCCGCACTGACCGTTTCAACAATGCGAAGGTGCTGGGAAGGCAGTTAAAATCATTATCAGCTCTTGTCTTTGGATGTCTCTTGAAGCAATCCTAGTCAATAATGGACAACAGGTGTCGCTGGGTGGTGCTAAACCACCCTTCCTGGAAGCTAAAGTAAGTGGTTCGAGGACACTATTCAACTGCTTGGGGCGGTTTCTTTTCACGGTTCACCCAGAGCTTCTGCAGCGTCCAAGCTCCAGTTGATGACTGCACATGCCACGCAGCTCGGGACTCACTGCCCTCAACCTGGGATACAAAAATCGCACACGCAAAATGGCCGCTTCGTGGAAAATGGCCAAGGCGGAGCTCAGAACTTCCAGGTGTTGGCTATCATCATGCATGTGGTCGCTACGACATGATGAGTGAGATATCATATCTTACAAAATGCACAAAATGAAAAAAGCACGATCAGCTGCATGTTAGAAAACATACGCGAATACGCACAGCACTCTTGACTCATTCCCTTATCCCCGGGCGCCTTCACAAAACCAACCAGGCCAAGGCACCAGCAATGCTGCGCCTTGTCGCATTTCCACACGGAGCACGTGATCGTTTTCAGCATCCGCCGTCAAGCGGGCGCACGCATCGCCAACGGAGAGTGTTGCGTGCTCCTCCGTGCCAGCCTGCAGCCACGGGAATACCTGAGCGCAAACCATGCCCATTGCTTCAATGAACGGAAGGAGACTGAAGGAACACCGTTGACGTGCCAATTCTCAGTGTTCCAAGTTCCATAAGATGTGTCTGAACTGGCTCACTACAAGCGTCTATAGTGGTTTTTTCTTTATTTTCCACGAACTAAACATGAGTCTTGACACACAGAACTCCACACTGGATGACTGTGACTCTGCCAAGGCGCAGCTTCACCGTTACAGGGCGACAACCAAACAGTGAGCTTCGTGCCTCCGCATCGCCGTACTCCATGCCGCTGCGGTGCCTCCCACAGCAGGGCTGCCGGTGCAGCTGACTCCCGGCCGGGGCAAAGGACAAAGGTCAAGGAGTCGTCCATGGTGGAAAGGTGCTGAGGAGGCAACCTGGGTGAAAAACTTCGAATGGCAATTGAAAAAATGAACAGTGCGCCATTCCGGGCAGAAAAAGGCGCACAAACTTGCCCAAGCGAAAATGCACAGTGCCAACTGCCAACAGAAAAACGTTCACTATCATTATGTCGGCAATCCCCCTTGTGCAGCTCTCTGAGCTGGGCTGAAGTGTTTCTATTTTATAAGGGATGTTGTGCCTCTAAAATGAAAAAAAAACAGAGTCAGGTTTATAAAATGAGGGTTGGTCATTATAAAATACTGAACCAACCTTTGTATACAATGAAAAACAGCAGAAGTAAGAATGCATCAACAAAAACCTCGGACAAACCTATATACATAATGCAAAACCAGCATCACGCTCCTGGATCTCTGATCTTTTTCTGACATTGATGTCTTTTTGTAATGAAATTAGGTTTGGAAATGTAATCTTGTAAAGGAACAGGTCCTTGATTTCATAAACAGTTAGGTAAGGAGGATGTGCAGCATAGTGCAGCACCCTGTCAAATAAGCGTTGTCTGCGGCAGTGTGGCAGGACATTCAAAGCTAAGCGCACCCAATTGTTTTCAAGTGGCGGCACAATTGTTGCAGGCTGTGCAGCAGGCTGATGAAAGCACAATGCCAGCGCGACAAACTGCTGACATTCCTGGCATGTCAAATCTGGTCTGGACATCTTGGAGGGTGGATAGTTGAGCTTGACCCTGCGACAAGTTTTTTTGGGCTCAAACGAACGATTGCAAAAGGCGCCACAAAATAAGGTAAAGAAACCAGTACTGTGCGGTCAGAGTGTGTATGCACTCTCATGCATTCTTGTGAGCACCGCACCATCCTGCAATCCCGAGGCTCCTCATGCGCCAGCAGTTCTGGTATGTAGAGGACTCTGCCTTCCTCACAGTCAGCCAAAGTCTCCACTTTCAAGCCAGGTGCCTGTCAAGCAGTGTCTTCAGAATCGGGAGCAGGATAAGGCAGTGCGAGCGTCGTATCCAAACATCATGCCCTATATATAAAAAATATACATTGCAGTGATATATATATATATTAGATATATTAAATATATACATGTGACAATGTGTGTGCACATGTGTTGAGAAACAAAACACCTTTTCAGATAGTGCATCCTTCCCGGTCTAGGGATAATTAGTTCATGCAAAGTTATCGTGGAACGGAATTTCATTGTTGCCGAGATGCTGACATGCTGCAGCTCTTCCATGGCAGTGTTTTGGGCATGGAAGGCACAATCATCGATCCAACCTTCACGCTGAGGCGCTGCAATTCTTAGGGACAAATGTGCTTGAACGCTCTTACGAGTACCACCTACGCCGTACGCTGTAGTTAGCCGTGGATTCTAAGAGACAGGAGGTGTTCTTCTCAAGAATGCAACGAAGGATGCCGGCATGTCGGAAGTGTACATGCAAAACTTACTGCTTCAATACATTGAACTGGGGGGGCTCTTGGATTCTGGTTTTATCGGGGGGTCCTGGCTCTTTATATAACTATTTTTAAATCTATATGTATATGAGTTAGCGTCAAAAATACATGCTTGGAGTGTTTTCGTTTCACTTTTGTAAGTCCCCTATCGTTTTCCATGGTTTTGGATTTTGCAAGTATGTATACATAGGGGTATCGTTTTTTGTCAGTCCCCTATCGTTTTTCAAGGAAAATCACGAAAGCAACGCAGAGATGAAACGTCCCTTACTAAAGTGGTTGATGATAATTTTGAGGTTGCCTCATATATAATATGACATAAGGTGTATATAGATGTATACGTATTAACTTTATACTTTTTGCTAATCATCTACCGTTGGCTGAAATTTTGGAATATTGGAAAGGCAATGAGATATGACTGACCATCAAACCAATTGCACGGCATGCGCCACGAAGCCAAGCATTCCTGTTCCAAAAGCCAATCTTCAAGCGGCGATGCTTCTACCAGCCGCAGGGGCGCCTGGCAATGGTCTGCTTCCGAATTCGATGGGGCGGTGGCAGATTCCGGTCTTCGCTGAGGGAAATGGTCACGCATAAGTATCATAAGCTGCAAATGTCATCTCCAAATCTCATTCCCCAAGCCATGTCACACTCAACAAAACAAATCGAGCCTCTGGCCTGCGCCAACCATGAGGGTTTGGCCCAGCAAGCCAACGCACCTGGCAAAACGAACGCAAGGGATGCCAAGAGAACATGTTCCACTGTTATGTTTCCGTACGATGCGGGTAGATGCGTTCTCTTCGGTCGTGTTGCTGGCCATTGTGAATATTCCCAGCTTGCTCAACAGGCCTCCACACACAAGGCATCGGACGACCCTTAGCTACAATCCTGATGGAATTTAGGCCTCCAAAAGCTGTGCTTGCCACTCGCTGCTGTACCTGGCTGCTGTACCAGCCATGCCACCGAACACACTGCAAACGACTCTCTGTGCCACGCCAAAAAGAAATCTGCTCCCTTCCTTTTTGTCTGTGGCGGACGAGGGTTAGCTGAATAGCTCATGCCGCCTGAATCTGATGAGCTTCCGACGCTAAAAGCATTAACCACCTTGCAATGAATAGC